GATGACAATTATGTATGCCGATTGTCATGGTTCTTTTGTTCTTGTTGTTTGAATGCTACTTATTATATCTGATTGTCGCTGACTGTTATATCAGAAAACGCTTATCACTTATATTTGAAACAAGGAACCTCTTCAGCAAACATATGAATATTGATATTTGGAATATAGTTTCATTCAACCCCAAACTCGTCCATTTTATTGAAGTCTTGTCAGGTCTTATGTTTAGGTATTCTGAAAAATTCTCATTCACATGGATATTACTGGAAGATGGTTTGGAATAATTGACAATGTCTATGAAATAAACACGGTATGATGACGTTTATGAATTTTTAATGACGTTTTAAAAGTGTAGGAAACAAGAAGTAAAAAAAGGAATCAGACAAACTGTACATAATTAGATATCTGCGAGTTATTATGTGGAAGACATGTGTACAATAAAGATAACTTTTCGATTATGATCAACGAGATAAAAACGTGTCGCTCAATTTAGTGGATTAGTTGAAGACAGACATTAACACCAATGGATGCCTTCAACTTCACTTGTCTAGAGGTTAACCGTTCGCGCGCGAGATTGGTAGGTCCTAGGCTCGAATCTCGCGAGGTGGGATTGTTGATGCTCACTGATGGCAGAACGATCGACCAGTGCTTCCATGATTTCAGTGGTGTTCTAACTTCAATTAACTCATGATCTCAACTATTAAAATTACTGCAATATCCACAAAACCCCTTCAGATAAATATGTTACATCATTGCAAAAGACTAATCTTGTTTTTCCCTTTGTTTGTGTTGAGACCTACTGCTGCTGAGACTGCTACTAAACTGGTCGTCTTCTTCTGAATTTTTTGTTGCATGTGCGATAGAAGAGCCAGATCATCTGTGAAGTATAGATCGTCCAGCGCCATCCTAGATATCCACTGTATCCCGGGCTTCCCCCAGATTTTAACGTCTCCATAATCCAGTCTATTACCAGGAGAAAGAGAAAGGGTTAGAGTAAACAAACATTGCCTGACACCGGTCTTCACTTCGAAAAGTAGATTGAATTATGATTTGAATTGAGACTCTTATTATCAAATGAGTTTATGCAATAGTCAGGGATTTAGCGAAGAATAAAAGGACGAAACTAATTTACGGGTTAGAATTATTAAAGATAATTGTTCACTTGACAGATATGAGGCAAATAAAAACGAAAAAATATTAAGATCACAATAACAAATAAATAGTAATGATGAAAAATTGTTAAAAGATAGTAATAACTGATTATGATTTAAAGTTACAAGAAGAAGAAAACAAAAACAAAAAAATACTTCAGAAGGGAATTAGGACCAAGGAGGGTTGAGAGGTTGGACTTATCGTTTTTACGCGCAAAGTTCAGGCTTGAGTTAATGTCTAAGCAATGCATAAGATTTTGATTCGACTTTCTTTCGAATTAATTTTTTTGACTGTGTAGAATATTTTCAAAAGACTCCTTCAGTGTGATATGTTCCAGAGTTGATTAATTGCTCCTGTACTGAACTAGTAACTGTTTTGAATTCTTCTTTTCAAAGTCATGACGGGCAGTATTCTGAGATACGTTTAGAATATGATCGCTATGTAAATACAATTTATCTTTTCTAGATTCACTTTACATTTATTCAATGATACAATAGGTTATTTGAATAGATACAATGAATAACAAAGAGAATAATTAGATAATTTCTAGCAAACTGAAACAATGAAGCTACATCTTAGCTTCCCACTCGAACCCGTGTTTCCCCCCAGATTTTGACGTCTTCATAATCCAGTCAATCTTTAGGAAAAAGAGGATGGGTGAGAGTAAACAACCTTGCCTGACACCAGATTGTTGTGAATGGATTTAATCAATAGCAAAGAGAATCATTAGATCAATTCTAGCGAATTGAAACAATCAATAATAAAACAAACACAGTTTCAAACAACAACAAAAAAACTGAACACTTCAACATCCATCACCTCTATACAAAAGATATCGACTATTTCGAGAAAAATGAAAGTGTCGAATATTTGGAATATTTAATAATATGATCTCTACTAGAAGGGGGGGTGTTGTAGATATTTTAGTGATTTTATAGTTGAATTCATGAAACTTCAGTGAGTTTCTATCTCACAACAGACCTGGTTGAACTCCATACGTCACTGTTTCTCACTAGAACTCCTGGAAATATCTCTTGAAGCCAGTCATTAGTGAGCATACGATGATTAGTATCAGAAGAGGTGTTTGTGGATATTATAGTAGATTTAATAGTGGAGTTCATGAGTTAGTTGAAGTTAGATCACCATGGAAAACATGCAAACACTAGACGACCGTTTCGTCGTAGTATGGGACTCCTCCTTAGCAGTTCGCATCCACGATCCCGACTCACGAGATTCAATCGCAGCACCTACCGATCTTGTATACGATCGCTTCACCTTTAAACCAGCGAAGTTGGCGGCATCCATTGGTTTTAATGTCTAACTTCAACCATTCTATTTTGTTCATATGTAGAAAATTTGTATATTATGGATTAACATGTAACAGAATCTTCAGCTTTTTCTTTAAACTACATGTCAACTTCTTGAAAATCTATAATGATGTATGATGAATTTTCCATGATTCTTTAATATTTTTAGTTAACAAATCAGATCACTGAATATCACATTTTATTGATAGTATCCAACCAAGTGTCTACATAATAATAAGGCCTTATGAACATGACAAATAATGTAGTTCTAAGTGATTAATGAAGTACAAATTCCATTTGAAATGTTTCTTCAATATAACAAAGGCAAAAATTTAAAGGGGGTACCTAGCTTGTCGTATGCTCTGACGGTGTTCTCGAGTTGTCTGATCTGCCAATGGCGATGAGATAGTACATGATAGTATTGTTGTGTGCTAGGTTCCGTTATCGTTCCTATTATTATTGTTTTTCCCAAAAGTGAAGTGAATAACGCCCATTTTTGCCAGAATAGATACAGTTTGAAAATAGAAAGAACTGAGTATTCAACACTACATAGAATGAGAAACTTAGAAGTCGGGACTAGCTTTTAAACAGCTAACTTAAACGTCTGTATCCTTGTTATACCTCATTAAGATATGCATCCTGCAAGTGTTAACTATGACATGTTCTAGTTTTCTCAATCGTTTTATCAAACTGAAACAAACATGTTCTTTATACATTATTGCTACCAATTTGTTACTTGATTTAGCCAAAATCTTAGCGACTAAGGGTATACACAACACCTGTTGAAAAATTGTAGCCTAACGACTTATTCATACGAAGTTGGCTAGTGTAATAGTGATATGCTTGAATGCTTTTACGAGTTCACCTTACTCGGTAAATGGTACGATGGTTAAAGATATGGTGATACGATAGGCTATTCTAAACCATTGTCCCCGCCCTGCTAACTAGATCATGAAGTCTTGATCTGGCGTAGAGAATGTATCCTACAAGCACCCAGAAAATACGAGGTCACTAAGCACACAAATCAAGCTTATTTATACAATAATAAAAACGCCCTTGGGAGAGCCACGAAATAGCGTACTAAAAAATCCTTCAACCAATGACATTCAAGGATTTCCGAGTGGGAAATGTAAGCTGTAGGTCAACTAAGAGTCTCCTGGCGCGAAAACATAAAATTCAAATTTACAGAATAAAATTACGAAATTAGTAACTTTTTCAAGTGGGTTCTGGGAATCTAACACCCTCAAGACGTAGATTAGATCCAGTTGAAATAATATATGATATTTGGAAGCAAACATCAACAATTTAAAGAGCTCGAATTATGTAATGCTAGTAGTCCATGATTTAATCATAAACATTCAGAAAGAATATTAATTTTACAATTTAGTTAATGAATTAATTGTTAAAAAGTAGTGGATGTGCACTTCTGAGGAGTCTCATACTAGGACGAAACGGTTGTCTAGTGCTTCCAGGTTTCCTATGGTGGTCTAGCTTCAATGAACACATGAACTCAACTACTAAATCATTATAATATCCATAAAACTCCTCTCTGATAATCAAACATAGTTTGTATAACAAAAGGACTAACTTCTAAGATGTTGAATAAACAACCTTGAAAATGGAAAAGATTGTTTAGAACCAGATTATGAATGGATGGAATTGATGATTTATCACAATACAAAAATACTATCATAACGTTTAAAAACAATAAAAAGGTTGAAGAATAACGTGAACTACTAATGATGTTTTAAGTAGTGTAAAAATGCGATGAAAAATCTTAAGCATGATGCAATTTATGTTAAATAAATTTTTTCAGGAGGGGTTTTGTGGAGATTTTTTTTCAAATTTCAATCGGTAAAATCATACGTCAATTGAAGTTAGACCACTATGAAAAACCTGGAAACACTGGGGGGCGGGATCGTGCATGCGCACTGCTGAGGAGTTCAACGATAGCACGAAACGGCCGTCCAATGCTTCCCGGTTTTCCACGGTGGTATTGCTTCAATTGACTCATGATTTTCACTATTGCATAAACTTAACAGAATATTTGATAGACGAATCGTCAAAACGATAATTTTGTTCAATGAAAAACCTACAGATTTATATATATGATCATGTTTTAGTTGATCAAAAATGAATCTGTTTATAATCATTGGCTGATAATACGGTAACATGTTTTGTTTTTAATGGAGTTTTATTCATTGAGCTGGATAATTTGGTGTCGTTCAGAAGAACGGTCAAAACTCCATGACTAAACTATTTAGGTAAAGGAGCAAAGCTTTATCAAAATCATTTATCTGAGCTACATATCTTCACCACATGTTTTGTTTATAAATGATACAATGGTTTACATAGATTAACTCATCACACAATAATACATCAATCAATCTATCCATTAGATTGAGATTTAACATATTCTTGAAGATACTTTAATAATCTATATAAGTGTCCTGTATGATGTAATAATCTCTATCATTACATACCATGAATAACACTTATGTAATTTTAAATTATTCTAGTAGATCATATTCACTATAAGTGTAACTATTATTAAAAGTACCCCCCAAAACAAACACACTGCCCGCACACGTATGAATGATTCATTTGCTTTTCTTTTTTATTTCGAATCAACAAATATTAAAAACTGGTTTCCTATCATGATTTCAGTCTATTAGTTCCTTACATAATTAATTGTACAATTATGAATACCTTTATACAATATTGCTTAATTGTGCTGTTTATAATAACTACCATTGAAATAAGTAAGTTCCTTTAATGTCATAACTATATGTATATATATATGAATGCTTAATAGTAATATTGTATTGAACAAGAATACAAGTGGAGACAATCAAATGTGTGTGACCACAAAGTTACAGAACTTACTTTTACGTTACTTACGCCTGTTACTCCTCGTGGAGGAGCATAGGCCGCTCATCAGCATTCTCCATCCAACCCTGTCCTAAGTAATCCTTTCAAGCTCATTCCAGTCATTATTCATACTTTTCATGTCTGCTTCTATTTTCTGACGTAATTTGTTCTTTGGCCTTCCTCTTTTTCGCTTCCCTTCAGGATTCCAATTTAGGGCTTGCCTCGTAATGCAGTTTAATGATTTCTGTAATGTATGTCCTATCCACTTACGATGTCTTTTCCTAATTTCTTCTTCAGCTGGAAGCTGGTTTGTTCTTTCCCAGAGAAGGCTGTTACATAACATCTCACTAAAATCTGAGAACTATATAGTTCATTTGTAAATTGTCAATCCATTGTCTCAAACGTGACTATTCCTTTTGTAAATATCAGTCCATCGTCTCAGATTTCATTGTTCATGCGTTTTTCATACCAACTAATTACCGTTCACGTCCTTTCCTTCTCAATCCTCTACTGAAATGCATTCTAATTTTATGTATCGTCATATACTGCTTATAGCTCACACCATAATATAACTGGAGTATTGAATACCTATAAATTCCCAGTTACTGAATTTACAATCATACTACTTAGCTTATTACATATAAACTTCCTCAGCTTAAAAATTTCAAAGAATTTTAGTTAAATACAAGTATCTGTTATGTAATTAGCTTAATTAAAAGAAAGTTATCATTAGCTAACAAAACATCAATACACTATTGTTATATACCGATGAGAATAATGAGTGGTAACTGTTGGGACCTATCTATGCGCTAATGTTATACATATGTTTTTACTCTGTTGTTCTTATTTAGCTAAACTATGCATATTCATATTCCTCTTGTTATAAGCTTTATTTTCATCCATAGACGACTATTATACGATTCACCGTTCTTGAATTATGTTCACTCTATTAATCATAGTCTCCCACAATCACAGCCACATTTAGCTAGATCTTGTACAAATGTGACATGATCTGTTTTGTTTGTATATAAACCCAGTATGTTTGAAATACATGATTAATATCACAGAGGCTAAGACTGGTGTTCTGGACTAAATAGGCAAGCAAATCTAAGCAGGAAGCAGGACCGATAAAGACTGCTCGTACAGATTTTATGCATCATTGACTTGGTTGACAATCTACTGTTCTCTATTTGGCGGTGTCGTCACGTGATATAATCATAAGACACAAGGCCATTTTATTACATAAATTAATGAAGTATTCATGACAAACAAATAAGGTGTTAGTTACCATTTCTTAACTTAACTGAATAATTTCAAATGTGCAGAGGTGGTTACTACTTCACAACTGTTCTCAACTAGGAAAATACTAAGATGATAAATTTTGATTGACTTACTACTATTTGGAAATTCTGTATTCGTTTCCAATTTTACCTATGAGCATTCATAAAGATTACCAAACTACTCCATTAACTTTATTATTGTATTGATTAGTATAAGTGGTGTGTTTTTACTTGGAGTCGTATTAGATGTATCTTCTCATGGTTATTTAGGACTGCAATTGATCAGTCAGTCATATATGCATACTATGCAGATTGCCTTGATATAGAATTAAGTCAAAAGCTTTTTAAGCAAAGATGGATAATGGCTAGAAGTGAGATACAGAACTCGCGTTTCGTCCTATTCGGGACTTGTCAGATGTAGTCCCGGAGTGATCATCAACATTTGGATGCCGATAAACCTATCTGACGAGTCTCAAATAAAACGAAATGCGCATCAAACTGGATTCCACTGTTAGCCACTATCCACCTTTACAGTTTATTAGATTTAACATTCAATAATTGATTTAATTTATGAGTAGTATATTATCAGTAATATATATTATACGAAATTCATTTCATAGAAAATATTCGAGGTGCATGTAAGTCAAATTAGTATTCTTTTTATCAAGTCAATTTTCATATTTCACTTAAAGATGGATCTATTTTTCTATTTTTTCTCTCTTGGAATAATCAAATTTACTTATCGAAATGATCCATTATAATGATGTATTGTCTAACCAATCGGTATTCATCGATGCCATTAAACTTATGAAGAGTAAATATCTAAAGTGATAGATCAACAGGATGAAGTCGTCAACTTCATGCCCAACTTTCCTTCTTTACTTGGGTTTGGAACTGACAATTACTCTAGAACAACTACAGATTGAGTTGGAAATTGAGAATATTTACCATGTTTTACTTCTATCGGATTAGAAGAGACACCTAACTACTGAATAAGTTAGTTTTCGTTAAATTAATCATCAGGAGAACTAATCAATTACAGAGTACGTTATCTGTATATCTTTCTTCAGTTATCTTTTATATACTTCATGATACTTTCCATTCTATGGTTATTACGATTGCTTTTTGTTTCTCTTCCTGTTTTCTTCAATCCAGTCTTCTCAATCTTCTACTATCAAACATTTCACTTGTGATTCGTGCTAACTAACACATCTAGCTGTCAACATAAGTAGTAAACACGATAATATTTTATTTAAATAGTTTAGATCATGAGTCATTTTAAGCTAGATCATCATGGAAAACCTGGAATCACTGGACGGCCGCTTGCAAAACTGTTAGGCCATGGGTTCGAATCCCGTTAAGCAAGATCGTGGATGTGCACTGCTGAGAAGTTCCACACTAAAACGAAACGACCATTGAGTCACTTGACTTATAATTTCAACTATTAAAATAACTACAAAATCCACAAAACCCTTTCTAACAATAGTATTAGTACATATGTTACAGAAAGGACAAGGTTTTAAGACTACTCAATTGACAAATCTTTAACGTGATGAACTAGGTTTGCTTATTCTTGATACTAACAATTATACTTTGTTGTATATTTAGTCATTTTTTAAAAAACTGTGAGTAGTTATAACCTGAAAATCTGGAACAGCCCCAATTTAGATACGAGATATAATCTAAACAGTTAAGGACTATACTGAAACGTGTACCTAATGTATAACATTTAAAGTGTCGAAATTATTCTATTTCAATATCATGAATTGGATGAAGTTAGATAATAACACTATTAGATGCCGGCTCAGTTGTCTGAAGTTAAGCGTTCACATGCTAAACCGAAGATCCTGGGTTCGATTCCCTTATGTAGAGGAGTCTCATACTAAAAAGAAATGGATGTCTAGTGCCTCCAGATTTTCAATGGTGGTCTAACATCAATCGATTCATGATTTCAACCAAAATTTTTACAATCTTCACAATTTCAAACTGATAATTATCGTTTACTATGATTTAGTCAAAAAGAAACCCCCTACAAGTAAGCATTCATTATTAGTCTGATAATAAAAGTAGATGATGAAATAATCTTTTTTACCAAAGGTTTTTGTTTTTCCATCCAAGTCTATGTTCTGATTTGTCTCTAATTACCTATAAGCACGCATAACAATGCTCTCATTGTTGACTTTCTTATTGGATTATGAGTTGACATTTGAATCATTAGATGGTTATAAGTCTGCTGAATTGTCTAACAGCATAGCTAAAGTTCTCATGAAATTCTAGGTTCAGAACAACAATTTACCTAGTGAAGGGATCTATCATTATTCCTCATACATAAATCGGTTACAAATCTCAACTCATGGAGCATCTGTGACAATTAACGTGTCTGCTTAACTGGAAACAGAATAGCTTCTTGTTTATAAAATCTCAACGAAAGAATTTGAAGTGAATCCAGCATTTCGCCTGGCAATCTGGTCCAGATTTTTCAAGGAAAAAAAAGCTTGCACTAAATTTCCAGGCGAAACGTTGGATTCACTTCAAATTCTTTGGCTGAGATTTTACAAATACATTCTTTCTCTTTAATATCTCACATTAACTTGGCGCCCAAATATTGTGAGGATAGCTTCTTATTATAACATGAAGGTCAACTACAAAATTTGATAGTGTTGTAGCAAGCCCATTCAACTAATGTATCATTTGTCTACTCACTGTAATTCAGACACTTAATTCATCATGTTAATTTGTGTGCATTTCAATATGTTAATTTCGGTGTGTATGATCGAATGCATGTCTGTACATTAACCTCTAAGCTATTCTCCTATTGGTGGTAATATACAGATAATCAATAATTTATCCACACTCGATTGACACTCAAAAATATATATGGATTTTTGATAAACACACTGACTCACTCACGTTGTTTCATCGTGTGCTTGCTCACTGTACGCTTGTGGATTTTTATTATTCATTAACAATCAAAATATCTCTACAACTGGTGTTCAGGTTTGTGAATAATCTCGAGTGAATCCATAATTCTACTAGGAGATTTAGCCTATCATGAATACTCAGTTAACGGGATATGATTTATTGGAGTCAGGTATAGAGGAAATTAGCGTCAACATATTAGCAAGCCGCCGTCACAACAGTGTAAACGATAACTGATAGCTTTGTTTAAAGTTAATAGTGACTTTCGCTAATCACAATGAGGATTATGAGGTCACAAAGAGCGTAAAAATCACATTTGCTGTAAGTGTTAACTGTGTAGCGATTCATACAACAGTTTCTACAAGCTATTTATATATCAAGATAAAACAACTAAAAGTTAGTTGCAGTTAAGATAATTCCAGAAGTAACTTCTTACAAACCTTAGATACTTGACTTCGTTGTACTCCAGCAATTCGCTTATCTTTTCAAACGTATTATTATTAATCTATGTAGTAAACTTTGACAATCTAAGGTATTGCACATAACTATAGTTTGATGTTACTTTACTTCTGTCAGAAATATAATTAGATCATGTTAAAGACAAAGATAATCTATTGTAGAATCTTAAAATTACATGCTAACTAACATGCTGTCATTCAGAATTTAGATGTTTATAAAGGTTTTTATGAATGATTCTATACGGACTGTGTAACTACTACTTGAGATCGGAGTCTCTGAATTCAAATCCTGAATGCGGACTGCTGAGGAGTCCCACATTGGGACAAAACAACCATCCAAGTGCAGAGTGAAATTTGAATGCAGTAAACATGAATTTAAAGTGTTTGACAATAGTTTCTGTATTTCATTAGTATATTATGTAATACGTTGGTTATATTATTATGTAACATTGATGAATGTAATTTATAAAACATTATTCTTTGCTTTATTAAACAGCATTTGTTGTTGTGGACAATTCGTATGTTGATCATATAATCATACAATGTGAATTTAATAGGTAACTAGGTGAGACTATAATTTATGGAGGAGCTTTGAGTGACTTCAAAGTAACCTTGAGAGTTTCTACCTAGTTACCAGAGCTGAATAATGGTTATAAAGCGGTTTAAAGAATAAAGATTATGATTCAGTTTTTCATCACGAACTGACATCAGCTAAAATGCCAAGACGTTATTTAGCCAAATGAATAAATGAATTTCGCGGTAAAATCCAAGATCTGTTATCCTAAATCTGATTGGTTCGTCCATAAATTATAGTCTTGCCTGTTTTAACTTTCTATCTTAGTCTGATTCATAGAATAGTTCCTGAATGTTTATCATTTTTGAGAAAAAAAACGTTATTTGATATCTTAGTTTAAAGATAGTCAGATTGTAGTTTTATGAGTTACTATCACTTATACCTGGTAGCACTGGACGGGGGTTTCTTCCTAGCATAAGACTCCTCAGGAGTGCGCATCTACGATCCCGCCTGCAGAATTCGAACCCATGACCTATAGGTCTCACACGCTAACGTTTAACTTCTAAACATATTGAACGCTTCAATTGATTTCAACTTCCATGAAAGACACTTAACATACTATGTTAAACGAGAAGAACTCGGACCTAATCTAATTCGACTGTAGATTCTTATCATTTACTTCTAATTAACTGTAATGTATGACAATTGTTCATTCACTAATTCTATGAAACAGTAGAACTTAATCAACACCTTGAGATATTAAGGTATCAGCTTCTAGTTTCTAATAAAAATATCTTAAGATAATTGGAATATAATGCTGTCTATGAAGTAGACATTTTCTAATGACCAGTAACAGTAAGTTATATGGTCTACCTGATCCCATAGTCAAGTTGAACTGACCTATGAAATCAGTTTTATCATTTCATAGGACTAAGTTTAGTTTTGTTCTCTAAACATGTAAGTTAATAAGTAACTGTCATATCCAGATGAAGAATAGGTGGATATTAACCGCTAAGTTCTATTTGCGGACCATTGTTACGTATATTCTTATTGTGTATTTATTGTTTAGCTATGTTATATGCATATTCAGATTCCTTTTATTCGACCTATTGACTGTTATCGTACGATTTACTATTGTCAAGATACTTTCAATTTATTAGTAACAATCTCTTACAATCACAGTCACTTTTTTGGCTTGATCTTGTATAATTGTTATTTACTATTTATTTTATGTTGCGGTCTGGTTTTTTTGTATAGAAACCTAGTATGTCTGAAATATATGATTTGTATCGCGGAAACTGATATTGTCAGTCTAGTTTGCAGTGGCTGGGTTATGTAAGTGGCTACTGTCTCAGAGAACCAACAAGAACTCTAGGCTGTTCATATTAGTTTATGTGTCATTAATCTGGTCGTATAACATACTTACTTACTTACTTACTTACGCCTGTTACTCCTCGTGAAGGAGCCTTGGCTGCTCACCATCACTCTCCATCCAACCCTGTCCTGGACAATCCCTTCTAGTTCTTTCTGGTTGTTATTCATCTTTTTCATATCTGCTTCCGTTTCCCGACGTCTTGTGTTCTTTGGCCTTCCTCTTTTTTGCTTCCCTTCAGGATTCCAAGTTAGGGCTTACCTCGTGATGCAGTTTGATGATTTGCGTAATGTTTGTCCTATCCATTTCCATCGTCTTTTCCTAATTTTTTCTTCAGCTCGAAGCTGGTTTGTTCTCTCCCATAGAAGGCTGTTACTGATGGTATTCGACCAATGGATGCTGAGTATCCTGCGTAGACAATTATTTATAAATACTTTTACATTCTTGATAGTGGTTGTTGTATTTCTGCAAGTTTCACCTCCGTACAGTAGAACTCTCTAATTGGCGGTCATATCACGTGATACAAACAACAGTAACAATGATGTAAAATGGCTAAAACGTGATTAGTTTCATCATCTTTTTTTAAAGTGAACCTCAAAATATATTCAAGAAGTTCTATTTTTATTATATCTAGAGCTTAAGTTGTTGATATACCGTGTACAACATGAGCGCTTAAACACTAGAACCCTCTAAGTTGTAAATGAGACGACAGAAAACAAGTGAAAGGAGTGCTATTCTGAACAGTGTCGAATATGGTACAAAACTATCAGGTATTTATATTTTTTAAAGTAAAAACAAAATCATCATTATAGTCCAGCAATGTATATAGGAGATTATTAGTATTTGTCCAATAGGGAAGCTACAGGTAGGGATTCTGGAATATTCTTCCAAAAGATGATTGAATGGAATGTCTTCGGCTCTTTCTGAGCTTCTAAGAGGTTCCTCGAGTTCACTTGTGGCCCATCATCACAATTTAGATTTTTTTTATGTTATTTCAAAAAAGAAATTTTTATACATTCTATCATTATTTTAATTGAAATTTTATTTTAAACTTATTTTAGGACTTCAACAGAGAGATTCATGTAAGAGTTAATCTTTAAATGAATGTTGAAGAATTTTGCAAATTTATATTTATATATATCATGAGTCAATTGAGGCTGGACCACAATAGAAAACCTGGAAGTCCTAGTACGGGACTCTGAAGTGGGCAACTACGATCCCGTTCGCAGGATTCGAACCCAGAACCTATCGGTCTCGCGCGCGAACCCCTAACCACTAGATCACTGAGATGGCATCCAACGGTGTTAATATCTAACTTCAATCAATCGACGAAATTGTGCCACTGTTCACCATTGTCTGCAGTGAGTTACTATCTCACAACAGAACTAACTGAACTCTACTGGTCATGGCTTCTCACTAGAACTCTAAGAAATTCCTCTTGAAGTCAATGAATAGTGGGCTCATGAACTCAACTATTCAATTACAATTATAATATCCATGATACCTCTTTTTAATAATATTTATATATATTACTAACAAGATAGCCAGTAGTAAAGTGTTCATCTTCCATTATAATGTAAACATACTCAAACAATTGTACATTTACATGATATTTCCTTAGCTATAAAGTAAACAGTCAGTCAGTCAGTACCAATGTAGAACTTCGTGCGTACGTACATCAGTTCGAGTTGCCATACCACATTAGCACAGAGATACAATTGTCGATTCAAATCCCATAGTGGTAGAGGTAATAAAAGTATAAGCAGTAATCGGAAAGATTAGGGTTTGAAGATGTTATTCAAGGAGCACAATCCAGTGAAATAAATTTGGGAAGAGAAAAAAAGAGACAAGGATGATTCAGGAGATTAGAATTTGGGAGAACACAAAGAGTGTATGCATCTGCGCCATTGCAAACGGTTTTGAGCCATGTCATTCAAGGTCTCGCTGATCCCAATCAGGTAGTCTACACCTACCAACATGACTCAGTCCACTTGTCAGTGACTTCATGGATTTGTGCCATGTTTTGATCTGGCCGCCCCTAGCTTTCTTCCAACCTACTCCTATACCACTGAAAATCGCACGTCGAGGCAGTCGGTCGTTGGGCATACGTAGCACGTGTCCCAGCCATCTCATCTGACAAAGTTTCACCACTTCATCAATTGATTTGCCATCCTTACCTAGTACCTGTTACTTACCAACTGTATTATTTGCTCAGTGACCACAGGATATACATCTAAGACACCTATGGTCAAATACTAGTAACCTACGAATATCCTCTACTCTTACCGGCTATGTTTCACTGCCATAAATTAGGACGGAAAAAACTGCTGAACGGTAAACTCGTCCTTTGGTTTAAATTTTAATAATCAAGAAATCAAGGCAAATACATTCTGTGTGTATTTAAGCATAGTAGTTAGTCATTGACTTATCACAAACTGCAACTGATACAGATTTGATCGTAGTATATTCCTTACTGACGAGTCTTATACTTAGATGAAACAACTCCATAATGTTATCTATGTTTACTTGCTAGTATTGCCTTAGTATAACAGAACATCTACTATAACTATCAAATGATATAGTTGACCTAATCTAAACAATAGATTACTTCTTGAATGCTTTCATTGTAATTAATAACCACAATTCAATTTTTATTTATTTCAATTTACAGGAAACTTGTAAAACATTGTTTTACCAGTTTCAGCACATGGATGGTTCTTTTAGGATAATCTAATGATTAATATCATTCTCGTTAAAATGATATTTGTATTTTAATAAAACATTTTACAATCAAAATGAATGGGATTTTCTTCCAATTTCAGGGCTCCTAGTAACTGTGTTTATTCTTGATGGGAGAATATATTCATATCTGTAATATCAACACATCTTGAATCCCTTTTTGTCGGAGAAAAAAAAGTTATCATATATAATTCTGATATGAATTAATTGATGTAATTCATAAATGTTGTTCACCAGTGTACGTGTACTACTTATGTAAATCGATATAAGTAATGTATAACACCAATCAGAAGTGGAGAAGATTTGTAGTTCAGGTGGATTATTTTGATGTAGTTTTGTTCTCTGAGCTGGATAGTTTGGTTGTGGAACTTTCATCGTTCTTTTGAAGGACATCATCAGTACCTCTACCTGACGTTTGTGCTGATGATGTCATTCAGAAGAACGATGAAAGGTGCATGACTAAACCATTCAACTCAGAAAATAAAACTCTATCAAAAACATCCATTTGAGATACAAATCTTCGCCAACTTTTTTCAATCATTTAGTTTAACTATGTGAACATAGATCAAAAGGTACAGATTTTCACAAATCATTACTTTTATTACTCTTTAAACCATATTCAGAAACTAGGATTTAAAGAAACTTCATTTATACTTAAGTATTCGTAAATATTTTACAACCAGGAACTATTACAACTAACAATTGTTTGATCGACGGGTGGTGATCAAAGTCATGTATGTCAATTCCTTCTTAGTGTAGATCGAATCCTATCGACCAAGTTGTAATGTGTCCACCAATCTAGGTGACTGGACATTTAGTACACCATGCTGACGAGTGCCAAGTAGCACGAGACCTAGACCCAGAGATTCCTGTTGACTACCTCAAACACTATCTTATTACAACTGTCGTCATATACTCGGAAGAATCAAATTTATAAATAAAAGGGACAATTCTAAAAAAGGTCAGGTTTGATATTTAATCGGATTACTGATATATACATCAATTTTAACAGTTGAATTCATGAGCCAATTGAAGCTAGACCACCACGGAAAACCTGGATGCACTGAATGATCGTTTCATTCTGTTGTGTGACTCCTCAGCAGTGCGCATACACGATCCCGCTTTGCGAGATTCGAACGCATGACCTATCGGTTTTGCTCACGAATGCTCAGGCTGTAGGCCAATGAACTGACATCCAACGGTGTTAATGTCTAATTTCAACCAATTCACGATATTACGTCATCACTGTCAACTAATAAATTACTATAATGTTCACAAAACCCCTCTCTGAATATATTCAACATATGCTCACTAGTGACGTTCCCCGAGATGTATTTCCTGGAGTTCTAGTGAGAAGCCATGATCCTTGGAATTTAACCAGGTCTGTAAGTGAGATAGTAACTCACTGCAGACAATGATGGACATGTGACTCAATTTCGTGTATCAGTTGAAGTTTGATATTAAAAACGTTGGATGTCGGCATGCTCAGTGGTCTAGAGGTTAGGAGTTCGCGCGCGAGATCGGAGCTCCTGGGTCTGAATCTTGCGAGGTGGCCATCTAATGTTTCATGATCTTAACTATTAAAAGTATTTTTTATATCCACAAACCTCTCTTAGTCTACATTAATAAATTATACATTATTCAATTACATTCTCATATAAAACACTTTTTATATATGAATATATTTCAGAGCTTAAATGTATCATCAATTTTGTCATTGAACATACTTCATCAATTGTTTAAATAGTCTCATTCATAATGAACTCAAATTTGATTCAAATTCAAAATGACAGAATTTTCTTTAATTGTTCTGAATTTAAAAAACAATGTTTAAATAATTCCCTAAATAATTAAAACAAACAGAAAAAAAGAACAGAAGCAACATTAGAGAACTTGTCGAGATATTTTAAATGATCAATGACTTTAATGATTCGAGTTAATGAAAATAATTCATTATGTCATTGAGAATTTAATAATGAAGGTTATTTCTTCACAACGTAAGTTGTTGTTGTGACTTGAAAGCCGATTTGTCATCAGCTGATTTATTCGCTAATTGAAATAGAATTTATACAATGTTGGCACTATGCCAAATCTATGACATTCGATCAGTATGAGCAGCTTAGTGTCCTTATTGGTCCATTGCTCAATTAACCCATCCAGTTGAATACAGAATGCTAATAACAGCTCCCATTATACGAATCGTTTGTTTCAAATATACTTGGTTTATATACTAGCCAAGTAGACCGCATTACACCATAAAATAAGAAATAACATTTATACAAGATCAAGCTAAAAAGTGACTGTGAACGTAGGAGACGGTAATCAAATAACTGAATATGACTTAACAACAGTAAATCGTATCGTAATAGTCAATAGGTCAAAATGAAGCTTATAATAATAGGAATATAAACATGCATAATCTAACTACTGAATAGTTATAGCATAAGAATATATGTATGTTATTAGCTCCCAAATGCCCTGGTATGTCCGAGAGTGAGATGGGCCCCCCCTTCCCTCTTGAAATGCTCTCATACAGCCACGCGTATACAGCCTCTGTCAGGGAAGTCCTACTCACTGTTTTCTCGTGGAAAAGGGTGTTGTATACGAAAATGAGAGGACGAAAAGCGAATGTCCGGCGCTTTAACCGGATCCCAAACCAATGCTGCACATGGGCTCCAGAATCCTGCATGAACAAATGGCGTATGAGCCAATCGTTGGTCACCGGCTACCATGAGACTGCATCTCCTCACGGTGCTTCACTGCCTTGTGGGTTATACCTTTTTGTCAAAGGTTCGAAGTGTGGCCCCTTAAGAAAACCACCTGCTTCGGTCCGAACACCCGGACAGTATCATAGCCATCACACAAAAGTGTGGCGCATGTAAATTTGGTGCCCTCTTGTACCAATATTTATGTGTTCAATTAAATGAGTAAATAAACTAATAGTTCTCAGAAGGTACCCGTAAATTGATCTTCACTAGGATATAACAGTTGTATATATATTCGTATTTATAGTTATTGTGTAAAATATATGAGTCTATAGAAGAATAGAGATGATTAGAATGATGTGAGACTTTCATTATCAAATGAAGTTACACAATAATGAAGAGATAAGAAAGGAATATAAAGACGAAAATAATTTACGGATCTTGATAATTGTCCAATTGACAGATTTGAAGAAAAAATGACAAACATAAAGATCATAATAATAAAAACTGTATCATTTGACGAACTATAGACGTATTGATCCATAGAAATCATCTTTTAAAGTAATCTGCACAGTCAAAGGAATTAGATCGAAGGAAAGTTGAATCAATATTTTAGACACTGCTGAAGTATTGGTAATCCACGAACTTACGCCAAAACTTTGCAAACAAAAACGATTCGTCCAATCTCTCATCTTCCCTTGGCTTTATTTTCCATTAATGATATGTTTCGGTCGTTTTTTCTCCTTTTTTCTTCATTATTATTTGTTGTTATTGATTTGTTAAATTGGTGTTTTGTAATTTTCAACTGTAATCAGTTATAATCACTTGATGTTGATTACTTGTATCTTCCCATTGTTATTTAAGACTGCATTGGCATACATGCATCCTGTAAGGATTGCCTCGATTTAACCTTAAATCACAAGCTTTTTAAGTAAAGATGAATATTGGCTAGTAGTGGAATCCAGGACGCGAGTTTCGTCCTATTTGAGACTCGTCAACTGGATGTACCTGTATCTCAGAGTTGATGATCACTCTGGGACTCAAACTCAGTACTGATCGTTTCACAACGTTATCGTGTTATTCACTTAGTTATTGAGTCCTGATATTCACTTGCTTGTGTAATTGGGTGAAGTTTAAATTCACATTACAGAATTTCACTGTTAGCCAGTATCAATCTTTGATCATAATGCTTATAAATTAAGGCAATATCAATGCAATATGTACACTATGCACATATACCAATAAGAGAGAGACTGATCAACTACAGTGCTAAGCATCAATGGGAAGATTTAAGTAAATAATACCAAGTAAATTTAACAGTCGTACTTTCCAATAAATTGAGGATTGATTACATAATTAATAAGAAGTATCTTTTTGTTATATTCCAGTGAGTAGGGAACATGTGTTTCGTGACTTAATATCAGCCACTTCTTCAGAGTGACCACTTGTTCACTGAATCAAGCCTATCTGAAATATACAATAGTAATCACAAACTATATAAGTTTGCGATTTATTTGAGTATTCAACGATTGTTAAAAGCAATTTAGTAGGTGAATTCATGGGTCAATTGAAACTAGATCACCGTGGAAAACCTGGAAGCACTGAACGGCCATTTTAGCCTAGTATGGGACTCCTCCTTGGCAGCGCACATCCACGATCCCGCCTCGTGAGATTCGAATCCAGGACTTATCGGTCTCGCATATTATTTTCAATAGGATTAGTTACTAATAACGTTTTATTTAATACGCCATGTGCATCATAATGAACTGTAAAATTTACTATTCAGTCATTAAGGACCTCGTTCTATGTTGTATCACACAATACTATTTTGATGAATTGTTTAGGAAGTTGTTTAATCACAGAAATCTCAACAAGAATAAAACGTTCATCAGCTGGTTTGCAGTGTTACATATTACTTAATAAAGTAGTTTTTTTATGTTTATTGAAGAATCAAACAAAGTATACCTGGTATAAACATAACACGGTGAATTACCAGACAAATTCTGTTTAATACACACTTCATTGTTTTGAGTCACAGTAGCGGTGTACCATATCCCTTAACATTATATAATATACCCTTGTGGGCCAGGGTTATTTTACATTGGTTTTCAGGAGAACCAGACACCATCCGGACTTTCACATGACAATCCAAACAGTACAGCCCAATCCCGTTTAACAAGAGAGCTAGACACCATCCAGGCTTAAGTTTTATAAACCAAGCAATACAGCTCAATCCCGCTTCACAGGAGAACCAGAAACCATATAGGCTTTAACACTACAATCTGAGTAGTACAAGTCAATCCTATGGCGCAACCACACAGGTATCAAGCATCCCTTAACATTACAAATATGAATTCATGCATATTCAAACGGTCGAATCGTATGAATGATCTGTTTATATCGTAGTGAACAGGAACACAAATGGGGGATAATCGAATGTATATGAATACAAAATTACAGAATCTCTTAGTAA